CCCCAAAACCCCAAAACCCCAAAACCCCAAAACCCCATAAATTCCAAAAACCCTTGAACAAAAATATGGAATCTAAAAAATGCTACATTTAGACCAAGATATCCCTATTCTAAATTTCACTAAGCCTATTTTAGTAATTCCCCTACAGAGAAAAGGTGGCTAAAAAGACAGATTGGAAGCAAATAGATTACCCAAACAACTATCTTGGCTGCTGAATGTGGATTCTCTGCACATTCTTGATTGGAATTGCCTCCTCTGCTTCGTATTTGATCCTAGCAAGATCCATCTTATCATCATATGTGAAAGTCACAGGGTATTGCTTGTTGTCTATGTCGACAAGGTCTCCATCTCCTGACTTGACAAATCCAAGCTTTTTAGCATTGTAAAGAAGAACTTCTCCAAGCTTCTGAGAATTAGTCATCACAGTAGCTTCAGCATGGGTGAGTTCAAATTCGATGTCGATCTTGTTCCTACCAACCCATGGGATTTCTCCCTTAGCGTGGACTTTAATCTCATCGTAATGGTCTAGATCGACTGTTTCTCCATCGTCAAATCTCATCTCTCCATGAGCTTCATTATCAGAGCCAAGCAAGAAACCAATGTCAGTGTAAAGATTCTGCAAGTCATCTAAACTTCTAAGTCCAGTGTAAAGATCAAACTTGTTAGCATCACTGAGTTGCAATGGAATTACATGTCCAGCTCTAATGTGGAGCCATATATCTTGAATTGGAATCTTAGAAAGAGTCCTTGAACCTCCTCTGATACATTCATATTTCGTTATATCCCAAATAGGACACCAGATTTCACCCCTTCCTGGGAAGTAATAATACTGTCTGACTCCACTTGTCGTATCTAAAGAAGCCAGAACAGCATCTCCAACTAGAATGCTGCTAGAAACGTAGTCATAAGAGTAAGGCTCATTTGGGTAATTGAAGAATAAAGGCTTCAATGGAACTTTACCATCCTTAGATGCTTTATGATACTGAGTATACATATAATTATGCAGTCCATACTTTGTCATCATTGCTTTCCTAATTATCTCAGTTGCAGTGATGTTTAATGTCTTATCAACTATCTCATTAAATCTTTCAATGTATGGCTCTTGAGGATCAGTTCCGAAGTCGTTATGGTTTCTTGAGAATGGATATATGACAGCAACCTTATACCATCTTGTGCATGTTTCAATACCAGCATTACCTTTAAATCCACAGACATTGTCTCCAACGAATGGGATTCCAAACATGTTAAAAAGCAGAATATTATCAACAGATTGTTTCATATTTTGGTACCAAGACCTGTTTTCTCCAAGCCAATGTCCTCCAAATTTACCTGATCCAGCAAATGTACTCCTACTTATCACCATTGGTCTCTTATTCAGACTACCAAAGTACACATGGGACATGTATGTCTGCCAGAATCCATACAAAGAATGCGAATCAAGCTCTAAAGATCAGCCAAAATCTTACCTATGCTTCCTAGTTCGTGCTGAACATCTATTGATACAGTGCCTACTTCAAGATCTCTACCTCCAGGCCAATAGAAAAGCTTATTGTCAATAGGATCCTCCGCTCTCTGACTTGCGTAACAATACCCGTCACACTCACTAGTGATCTCGTTCATATCGAGCCAGACTCCATCAAAGGGTAGCTTTTCATTCAACTTTTCCATCTGATCGTGCCAGTAACTAGGGGATCCATGATAAGTGAAATCAACGTAGACTACATCTCCAGCTGTGCTTCTTCCAATAATAGGCTTGTAGTCTCCTCCTGGAGACATCATGAAGACATTTCTCTTAAGACCATCATTATAGGCATCATTATTGCCTGCTGAAATTCCTGACTGTATAATAGGAACGTATCTGGTGCCTTTCTCTTTAATCTCATTGATAAAATCTTTAATCCCTTCAAAGTTCTCCTCGTCTACTGTGAATGACCTGAAATCGTCAAGAACATCGACGCTGCTCCAAATTCCATCAAGAGGTAGTTCATGCTCTCTGTATCCATTATAAACTTCTTTCAAAGCATCAGTTGTGTTGTATCCAAATCTTGACTGGTGCCATCCGAAAGCCCATCTTGGAGGAAGGACTGGCTTGCCAACAAGCTCATAATAGTTTGAGATTACTTTATCAATTTCCTCGTTGAGCATAAAGAACATGTTTGTTCTTCCAGTAGTCTTAATATTCGTAATATCCATTCCATTACCATCTCTAGCAATTACAAATTCCTGAGGACCTGAGTTATGCTCGTAGACTCCTACCCAGTCATTACCACCTTTCTTCCTCCTCACAAAGTAAACAGGGTGGGATCCATAGAGATTCTTACCAGGATTTATACCATCCTCTTCTACATGTTCTGCCCCTCTATTCCAGACAGCATAAGTGCCAGGGTTTTTCCAGAACTCTCCTATTCTTTGGCCAATTCCGAACATTTTAGTGCCATAAACATGGGCTCCCATTGACTTGTAATACTTAGTATACACAATTGGCTGCCCTTTCGAAGAGAATATCAGATCTTTCTTATTATCCTTTGCATGAATCTCAAAGTAGAAGTTTTCACCAATCTTAGGAAGGTTCAGGTACGACATTATATCTCCAGTAGCGAACGATTTACGGTTTGGATATAAGGTAGAGTTCAATACTATGTTTGGCATCTCAAATGGCTCTGGAGAAATATCAGGGACGAAATCTACATTGATGAGATTATCTTTTAAGAGATAAAACTCAGCATCAAAAGAGCTCATATCTCCATTAGTTGCTTCAACTTTCACTGTTACTTTCTTGTTTGCATAGTCTCCTTCTTTATCAACTTGGATATCAGAAATGACATAGGTTGGATTACAGAAGCTCTCATCTTCTCTGGAATTTCCAAATTGAATCCCTCTAATAGACCTAAGCTCGATGACTTCTTTTTCATGTCTTGGTAGGAAATGTAAGGTCTCTTTTTCTTCATCATAGTCAACAACAATAGGGGTAGAGTCCATATTTTCATCAAACATGCATGCAAAATCAGTATCATTATACATAGCTGCATCAACAACTGTGATGTTTTCAACAATTTGGTTCTTATCAAGTTTTCCAGAAGTTTCAAATCCATCAGCCAAAGCAATTCTGATCATGTTCTCACTAAAGGTGATCTTATAATATTCAAATGTGTTAGAGGAAATTTCTTTAAGACTAATTCCATCCTTATCAACATATAGAGTACCCTCTGCATTTTGATGTCTATCAGGGAAAATTAGGAGTTGAATATAGTTCTCAGACACCAGCTCGTTGGTGGTCATTGACTGTCCAAACTTTTGGTATGGGATAATAGTCCCTTCTCTCATATGAATCAGAGGATAGTCCCACCTTGCTTCAAGAGAGACTTGCTTTCCGTTTCCTTTAACTTCAATAACTTCCAAGCTGATGAGATCTATAAATCTTGAATTGCTAGGGAAGTAGCTCATAATTTTTCCATTTCCTCCAGCTGATTCGAGTACTGGAGTAAATTTCAAAGCTTTTCCAATCATGAAAGTATGCTCAATGTCTTTCGTTGTGCCATCATCTTCAGGGAATTCAAAGAAAAGAGGTCTCCAGAAGGAACCCCCATTTTGACTAATCTCAAAGAAGATAGTGTAGAAGTATCTTAACAAACTGAGTCTTAATGTAAGAGCGTTCTTTGCTGCTTCAAGGTATTCTTCTTTCTCAAATGCCCATGCTTCCTTTTCACCAAACTTAGTGTTGTAATAAGATCTGGATAGTGGATACACAGATGCGAGTTGGTACCACCTAGCACATATTTCTTCATCATCATTTCCTTCACTACCACAAACATTAGCTCCGCTTAATGGAATCCCGAACATGTTAAAGTTAAGAATTCCTGAAATAGAATATCTCATGTCTTCAAAAGTGTTTGTGTTTTCTCCAAGCCAGTGCCCAACCCCAATTCCAGCTCCTGGAAAAGTAGATCTTGACAATACAAATGCTCTTTTATTGTAAAGAGGCGATGCAGCATTGTTTTCTAGATAAGCTGATGCAGTTAAAGATTGCATTGTTCCATAAAGTCCTTGATTATTGAATGAGACACTTGCATCTTTAGTGCTCTCAGAAGGAGATCCAATGACTGCATCTAACGAGATAGTGTTTGAATCTAATCCAACCCTATTTCTATTTCCAAGAGGGTTATATGGTAAGTGATCGAATCTGTTTGCAGCCTTTTTAGAGTCGTCAGTAGGACACTCTCCATCACAATCCTGGTAAATCTCGTTATAATTAAATTGAATTCCGTCATAATTGAACTCATTCCAAAGAGTCCGAAGGCCATCTCCAAGGAATTGATAAGCTCCTGTTTTAAGATAATCTACATAAGCACATTTTCCTGGCAAAAAGTCTCCAATCAGGATATCTCCTCCAAAATCAGTGGTCTCACTTGCAGATCTGATGAAAACCTTTTTCCCTCTGGTGAAGTAGCTATAGATTTCTCCGTAAGAATCATAGACTGGGATGCAAGCATGCATTGACATGTACATTTTCTGATTGTTGTTGTGCAATTCTGTAGTCAACTTTTTCATATCAAAGTTTTCTGTATCTATTGAGAATGGCAAATACTTCTTCATCCATATTTCATCAAGAAATAGAGTCTCAAGAGGAATGCCAGCTTCCTTGTATCTTTTAACTGAGTCTAGTGCGATATCTGTGGTAGTATAGCTAGTTGAACCCTGCTGGAACCCAAGAGCCCAGAAGGGAGGAAGATGAGGCTTCCCAATGATGTTGTGATACTCTTGCAGGACTTTTTCAGCAGTGTCTCCCATGAAAGCATAAACATCAAGTATTCCTCCTGTAGTTCTGAAGTTAATTATGGATCTTCCTTGAGTCTCCTTAGTATATTTCAATACCTTCGCATTACTGTTCTTTAAGAATAAACCTATATTAATCAGTGAGAAGGTTGTATCTATCTTGGTCGAATAAAATTTGCTGAAAGTAAATTAGAATAGAAAAGGGATTTTCCATAGATATCATATTCCTAAAAATCGTCATAATTTGTAGGAGATGATACTATTTTGGCTAAATATTTACCGATGTAAGTATTGTCATCCAGCCTTGCAAGGACAAATGGATGATCTCCATAGGTGTTGTACCCTAGTTCTCCGGGATCTGCAGTCTTTTTAATCCCTGTTGGCCAGATTGTATACTCTCCTTCTTCTAGTAAAAAGTCTCTTGTTCTCTCTCCCCATCCAAAAACTTCTTGAGAATGAATCTCAAATCCAACTTCAAGATATTTATCAGATAGTAGTAGGTTTCTATCATGGGTAGATAACCAGAATGTATTCCGATGGGTTGGATTTTTCAATGAAAATCCAAATGGAGCTTCATAGACTTCAAATTCTCCAAAGCTAAGTCTGAGTCTCTCGTCTCACTCATCCTCTTGAATAAAATAATCTGGTACTTCCCATCTTTCTTGTCCATCAAGATGCTCTTTATTTGGCCTGTACGAGAGCCTATAAGCTCTTTGGCTGATCATACACAGATGGAAATCCACATTAGTGAACTCTGGATTCGTCTCTTCATCAAAATGAACTGGCACAGCTACATTCTTCTCTCTTCTAATATTGGCAAAATAAGAATGCCTCAGGTTGGCTGCTTCCTTCTGCACAAATCCGTTATACCCTGAAGGTAGTTTTCTTGATTTACCCTAAAGATTACACACATATCTTTACCACAAGTAAAAGTACAAGCAGGAGTATTACTACAGCTACGACTAAGAAAAGCACGCAGGCTATCACAATGTAGATATTCTTTTTAGACTTCTTCTCCCCTACCGATGCCTCTTCCTCCTCATCTTCAAAATCATCCTTAATCTCCGCTTCATTAATCCTATAATACGCTTTCTCTTCTTCCTTTGACATTTTTATAGAACAAATTTATAATCCTCTCAACTAAATTCCCCATAACAGGGGTTTTGGGGTTTTGGGGTTTTGGGGTTTTGGGGTTTTGGGGTTTTGGGGTTTTGGGG